ATAAATAATGTAGGTAGTTAGGACTAGAAAGATTGTTTATAGAATTGGCTGTGGGATTGGTGATATAATTGGTCTGCAGGAATGTACAGCTCCAGTCTAGGGTGGCTTAATTGGTATTGATATTTCACACCCTGCTATAAGTAAATAGATCTTTTCCTATTCAATTAAAAGGTACCAGATCTGACAATCAAACAATTGATACCATTTAAGCCATATACTACCTTCTTTCAAGCCAAGCTACTACAAATTCTCAGTTGTGATGAACAAACACACATTTTGTGTCCCTCATATTGTGTCTGAATTTCGAAATAAACCCTCTACAATTAATGTGTCTGCCCTGTATTCAATATTATCAAGTCTATGGCCTAGTCAATATAGATCAATGACAATGAAAAATACAAAGTTAGAGTAGTATCTCAACAATTTCATGGATTTAAAAAAACATGAAATATAAATCTCATATTTCACAGTATACTACTTCATAAAGAATAGATAGGATAACAGGTATTGAATGTCCACTGAAAGGGCTATGATAGCAGTAAAATGACCAGTAAAGTGTCCAGCTGAGTAGATATTTTAGCCGAGTAAACATACAAGACTATAGACAGAAAAGTTCATTTGTTAACTATTAAAAAGGTTAAAGTTGAACAAGTGTCACCAGTAAAACTCAAGGTATTATAATGTATAATAATAATAAACAATCTGGGGACAATAATACCTGTCAAATCTTCAAAACATATTGAACCAATTACTGTAAATACTAATTCATTGGATTTTATCACAGTTATAACAAATATTCAATATGCCACAGTACAACCCTTGGGAAATTATGATATTTAATTGATAACAAATTCTTAGAGAGGTGTAAATTAGTTAAAAGAAATGTCAACTGGATATAATAATGACACTCCCTTTAGACCAAAGAAGCAAAAGTTGTTAAAACTTCTAGTTATTCTCTAAATAAGCTTTTCAATTGCCGGTTACTGTCAACAACACCCCTCCCCTTGATTATCAAACAAACGGGAAATCTTTTAAAATGTGAAACTTGAAACCTGAACAATTAACAGTCAAGTACTTATATTTCCTGCAAAGAAAATGCTATTTTTAATGTGCCACTGATCTACCAAAATCTACCTTTGATTTTCTTCAATCAACTCTTAAAGAAAATTATATTTGTGAATATTACACTAAATGTAAACATGTGAGGGTAACATTAATATTTAATGTAAAGTTGCGTTGAGAATGTAAAAGTTCTTATAACATGTCAGGTTAAATAATCTTCACAATGAGGATACGAGTACAAATTTCTATTACAAGTCAATAATTTCTCTACATATCAATCAATGAGAGGACTGCTAGATGAAACACTCTAAGTTCCAACTCTGACAACTTACAAATCAAAATTTAAACTTGCCATGTGAAAGAAGAGATTTTTGTGGACTTCAATAAATTATTATTTGTTCTCTTTTTAGATTCCAAACCTTAAATATTCCATGATGAAATTAATGTTTTAACACCCTTTACTCATAGAAAAAAAATAGAAACAAGCAGAAAATAAACTTAAATAGAGTTGTACTATCCTGCACAGGTTTAATAAGGTTATTGTAAACAACGACCCCACGCAGTTTGCGTCTGTAGCAAATAGGATCAGGGTCCCATTTAGATGACTCTCAACATCTTTACCACAGACAGATTGACAAGTAGAAATATAAACCTGTATTTCACTTTTTAGGATGAAAACCATTTTTATTCAATTCACATACAATTAAATAGACTAAAACACAAACAGCTGACACTGCAAAAAGGTTTCTTTCAGGCTTTTATCATCATTCTGATAAAATAAAAAATTTGCATAACAAATTATATCAATATGTGATATTACGTCCTAATTCAATAAAGAATATGTATTCACTAACTGAGGGCAAATTAAGTGAATGATTTTCTGCCTGAAAATATAAATTCCTTAACAGCAAAAATAGGGTTCGATCAGTTAGTAAAACTCAATTTATGTTTCTACAGTCACCGCAATCAGAAATTTGAAGTCTGTGACATAGGTAGAAGTCGTTTTGATAATCTACCCAGTTCAAACTATTAGATTGTTAAAGATTATGTTTGAAACTTTCTTATGTTAAGTTGAATATGATAAATGCTCATGTAATTTCTAATATAAATAATATTCATAACTAACAAAAACACTGAAATTTTCATCACTTGAATTTATGACGAGTTAAAATTTACCAATTTTTTCAAAGTAATCAAACAAATTTTATGATTTATTATAGGTCCAAGGCAGATAAATTTTAAAATATCAAAAATGTTATTCTAATCAGGTGCAAAAAGAAAATAAGGATGTAACAAGGCAGAATCAAATACAATCTACAACTTTGATTATGAGCTTTGACTATTAGCTTTAGCATGTCTGTCTATAGAGGATGCTTGAAAAATCGTAGAGTATAAAGCATGATCTGAGACTATGTTTATATCTCTTTATGATCTCGCTTATACTTTAATAGATTAAAAGAAATGTCACTTAATAAGCATAAGCTGGTATGGGTAATTTAAATAGGAAAAACATTGATGAATTTGATCACAGGCATTTGTTGTCTGCTATATCAAGAATAATACTAATAGGTTGATGACAGTTTATTCAAATTCTGTAACACAAAATCAATGAGTGTTATGTCACACAAAGAAATAACACAATACACCGGAAAGTCTTACGAAATGACACAGTGTGGTAAGCTTACTATTTAACACATAATGCTTTACCATATACCATTATAAATTACGAATGCCTGTGGATAATTCTACATAAGAGACATGTCCCTCGCCTCGTACAATTCAATAGTCTGAATACAGAAGATTAGATCAGACTTGTCTACAGCCAGTTCTTAAATCATAACAAATTCGGGTATTGAAGAGCAAATACAAGTTATAAGACTAACCTTGTTTTCCAACGGAAGAAATTACCAAATATATCAATATAAGGCCAAAGACTGTCAAACTTTCCGCCATCTTTCCATCATCTTCGACAAGCGCAAGTAACTCCACCTAGCGGTCAGCACTTAACACAAGCGTGATCTAATAAGCATAATACACGCCGGCGCTTCTTTGATGTATAAGAACTTGCCGGTTCTGAACTGTTATGATGACTCACGCACGTGCAGTAAAAAAAGTAGCAGTAAATCGATAAGCGAGCATACTGAAGAAACAAATTGGATTCTAGCCCCATTTAAATCTATATTTCATGCGTAAAATATGAAGTGTAAAAAATTTATTTCTTCACAGAAAAAAATGTTTGAGGTTTTAGCCCAAATCATAGGAATATTTTGTAAATTGTAGACCGTATAACAACGTCGTATGATGCATGATACAACTTGCACTGTACTGTATAGGTTAGGAAGAAAAAGATGACGTGTTTTTTACACCCTTTTAACATTTACCATTAAAATTATACAACGTGAAATTGTGTTTCTGGATTTCTTAATTCTTCAATCAAAATTTTTAAATAATCTCAAACAACCTTTATTGCCCTTTATTATAATATGTATGCGTGTCGATACTCATTTATCAACAGAATTTTAAGTTTACGTGTATAATAAGGACAGATCTATATAGCCTTCGTAACATTTAAAGTAAGAAAAAACTCAAAATGTTAATCTCTCAAATTCAATAACTTTATTATAATATATGAACATTATTCATTCTGTATTTCTAACAGGCAGGATGTCTTGTACCATCTTCCAATAAAACTGTCCTTCCACTTTTGATAAACTTTCTTCCACAAAAATGATACCTATAAATGGAAAATGTTAGGAAATTTAGGCATGTAGTTTTAATTTTATTAGTTCACTTACACTGTAACAGAAATCTAATATATCTAATGTAAGATAGCATATTAAATTAACTTTTCTCCCAGAAAGTACTCTAAATGGCAATGTTTTTCGAAATTCAAACTCGCATCCACATTTTCATGCGCGTATAAAAATAGGTACCGACCTTTCATCCCGTTTAAGAGATTGTGCTATCACTCTCTGTACTACTATGGATTGCCCGAAAGAAAACCAAGAATAGCTATTGGAACTGGAAGCATAACTGATTGAAACACTTTGAATTCTTCCAACATCAACAGATGAGAAGAACAGCTTTTTATACGAAGGTGGAACTGCACCACTGAAATGTAATATTAGGCTATAATATTGCAATTTGCAATCTTACCACAGACAACTGCCATCAGTGGCGGCTCCAATGGCCGCGACTTAAAAATGTATAATAATACTGAAAGAAAACCTCTTCCCGATACATGTTGGAGAATTTATCTTGTTATATTCCAGTAAACCAAATTGTAAATAGGTAAACCTATGAGATGATCATAGTAAACAAGTACGTGTCGACTGTAAGTCAAATTTTACGGACAGGATCCAAGGAGCAGTTGTAAAACACGGATATTGAATGGTATGTGTTTCTTTTTCTGTGGTTATTGCTGGTATGTGTCAGTCAGTATCATCAAATCCCAATATTGAAAGATTTCCGGATGTTTACCTGTTGAATGAAATATGATGAGTTCGACCACTTGAACCAATAATAAATAATTTTATAGTACCAGGGCTCACATGTCTAGCTACAGAAAATTCCACGTAGTAATGGTTCCCTGAAACGAGCAAATGGTTTTAGAAGGACTCTCAAAAGTCAAAAAAAAAGTCTAATGTTATAGTGTTTGTTCCACAATATGCAGCGTCATAAGTACCTGAAACCTTCACAATCCCGAGTAACCAAGCTTGCATACCTAATTCTAAAGTGCTACCATGGAAATGTCTTTATTGTTAACATTTGGCGGAGGGTTGCTTCCCTTGAAGTTCAAATACTTTCTTTAACAATTACATTCCTAAAGCTAAGGGATTATTCCTAAAGCTAGAAACATTTTGAACACCATTTATATATCGATGGATATGAATTTGATATGGAATATGCAATTGGTGATTTGATTTTGTTCAGGATAGCTAAACAATACGCCTGGGATGCCTTCCATGGATCACCACACTAGAAAGTGGTAGCCTAGATTGTATGTACAAATTGAAATAATACTCACCACAAAATGGCGCCCTATCATTGGTTTGTAGATAAAATGTTCCCTTTGATCTATATCGAGCACCATCTAAACCCATCCGTGGACAAAACCTATTACCACAATCTAAACATTTCCCTGTATCAAAGTCACGCTTTGAAGAACATGGATATGAAATAAAAGAGCATGGTCCGTTGATAGATTCAATAAACAGATCACATGCTCTGTCGTGGCTACATCCTAAATGGTTTTCAGCACCTGAAATAAGTTATAGAGATTGAAAAGTAACGATTTACGGTTTGGCTTATTATCTCCGAGAGCTTCGCATGCCATGAATACCCAAAACAATAGTAAACTGGTTTGACAGGCTCTTGTTCTAATCATCTTCTGACCGTAAATTTAACAATTGGAGGTATTCTTGGATTATGAAAATGGAAATGAACCTACTCTCAACTCCGTTACTGAAAGCATTAGACATGACATCCATATACGTCTCGCCACCACATCCCGGTTGGTGTATACCACCATTAGGATAAAAATCAGCATGGCCAACTGCTGTCAACATACCATAACCTACAAAAAAGTTTATAATGGTTGTCTTTTGCGTGTTAATTTGTAATATATTTCAGGAAAGCAGAAACAGACGTGATATATATATAAAAGATGTATTTTGGTTCACAGACCTTATTGGGCTGACACATATAGGACAGACAACAGTGTGCAAGACTGCGACGAAAACATGCCTTTAAGTTTTCGTGGGATCTAAAACATGATTTCAACCTATATTAAATTTAAATTACCACTAAATGTATTGTATGTAGAACCATCAGTATGTATAACATCAACATAACGAGCATCAGTTTTATCAAGATGTACTACGGTGGATGTATCAATAAAGTTTGGTTGAGCGGGATCAAGGCCTGAAAGAAGAAAAAAGACAGAATCACTTCATGACACATCACACTGTTGAATCATTGAGTATTCTAAGTAAATATCAGCGTTATTAAAGGGGCTCCTTATAAACACTGTTTACAAGTAATGCGTGGGTTACATCGTACCAAGTAAAAATTCATCTGCTCTCACATAAATGAGTACATATCGAAAGAATCGGCTTCAATATATTTTACTTCAAATCACTGCCACCAATACATGTACAGAAATCTATGCCGTGTTTGCTACTATTCAACATCTCAAGACATACCTGTAATTCGTCCAAGATCCGGAATGAGGTTGCCAGCATATCCAGCTACGTGGGCTCCCAAACTGTGCCCAATAAGATGTACCTTTCTAGCTTGCAGAGATGTCGTGTTCAGGAGGGTGTTAACAAATTGGCCTACAACAGCCCCAATGACACGTGTATTGGAAGCTGCCTGACTGTACGGAAATCCAGCGCCATGTCCCCAACCAACAACTATAACATTCATCACATCCTGAAATTATACAACTATATAGATCTCATCTGTATTACTAACTATTTGGAAAATACAGTCGTCATCAGAAATATTTGACTCAATTAACATGTATCGGGAATCCGTCACGTGGAACGTGACCTAAAACATTCTTTTCAGATCTTGGATGAAAAGTCGAGTCACATCTGGAACATCTAGATCTATATTTGTACCTTAATTCTTACCTTTCTTATGAGTTCCTTTGCTGCTCTATCAAGCCAAGGTGCTGAATAGTCCTGGAGAAATCCATGGATTATGATTTTAGTATTGATTCCTGGATTGAAATCACCATGAAAAGTTGGTGTTATATCTTGAGGAGCACCATCATGTTGTCTGGTATATAGTTTGAAAACTGTTTGGATAAATCCAGGATCTTGGGGTAAAATTCCAGTGTTGTTAAATGGAGGTAGAATATCAAAACAACCTATCGTTGGATAGCAGACGTGTTGTCCCTGCCCTGAAAAGAATGGATAAAGATGTCGGTAAAAGGAGAGGGTACCATTTCATTTTTTCAGATTGTGTCTTAACCAATTCATTTTGAACTGATCAAAGAGATGATGTTTGTCCTGCGATTCCACAAAAACCAACTGTTTTGTGACGTATAAATAGCAAATTACATTGTTAGCAGCTTTAGCTCATGGCGTCTATACGGTTAAGCATTGCTATAATTACAAGAACCGCAGATATTTTACGGTAAATTTTATACTACAGTTTGAAAACATAATTTTGAAAACATTCCACAAATTAGCTAACGACGCGTGTTTGGATAAACCATCATATCAAACACATTAAACAACAAGAAGTCGACATCGATAATATTCTAAAACAAAAAGATCCTCAACTGAACTCATCTCATGCTTCTGACACGTGTTTCAGATAAGCAATCCTCATCACGGCAGCTACAGGGTTGAAAAAGATTTATCTATAAGAAAGGACATCGAATAAACAAATCTTCCAAAGAAGAATGCTTACCATGATGAATGGTGAAAACCAAGCAGAGGAGAATGACAATCTGGTTCATCATAGGTTTTCTGCGTTTCTATTCAAAATTATACTTCTGTTGAGAAGTCGGTCGGGTTAAAATTTCTGTTTCCGGATTCGACGGAAAGGCCAGAGTGCCCATCTCCTTCTCAAGTTCATTGTCAAGAAAAGTATGTATAAGTATAAGTATTTTTAATTCGTTCACAATTGCAAGAAAACCGAGAGACATAGGCTATGTTTCGCAATTAGACAATGAGTTCTGTGAATTTAAGGCGTATATACAACATACAAGTATATATATTTCTTGTAGTTATATGGTCTATAAAAAACCGTGCTCACACATTAGTTTACAATTCTAAATACGTTTTATTTATTTCTCGTTGATGTATAAGTTTACACTGTGATGGTCGAAAAAGTTTCCCTGATTGACATATATTTTCTGATTTTGTCTATTAGTACATTAGTACCTCATTTAGCAATTGTAGATATTATCAGATCAAGATAGATATGGATAATATCTACCGTTGCTAAATGAACATGATTAGTCGTATAAAGAATCAAAGAGGGACAAATGCTTAGATGAGAAAAATTTACATTATAGCAATTCACACTTGCGGACAAATCTTGCCGTTTTGCCTGGCATTAGTTGAAATATGTGAAGTTGCTTTTCGAACCCATGTAAGGGGAGACAAGATGATGTGTCAAGGGAGATAATTTGTTGTGTTCAGGAACAAAATATTAAGGCAATAATTATGCGGTGTCGGTCAATTTTATTTGTTAAATGTAAATGACAACCATCTTTACCTTTATCGGTGATTTTTTTTTTTACACTAGATTAGGTAACCAGACTTTCGGACCTCTACCAATATCGGACAACATATTTCGGCATAATCCGGCATCCGGCATAATCACATTAAAAGAAAAAAACGAGAAATAGAATAGGTTGTTTTATTCACAGCAATTAACAACAACAAAAAACTATTTTTACATCGATATTTGGAGAGAATAATCATGTTCTTTACTTGACAATGGAACTTATATAAAGTTATGTACAAAATGGTTTTTCGCTAGTAGTTCTGAAAAAGAAAACACCTGGAAATCCATGGTGATCAACTCTATGCCCAAAAAATGGACACTGCGTTGTCTGGCATGGTACGCAACTGGACGGAGATATATCTAAATGGGACCAACAATGGTACATGGTGTAAGTACAATTTGAGTTGATTGACTCGGTGAATAAATCTAAAGCTCGGAGATGACTGCATCCAAATGCTCTTTTGAGCGCTGAAATGATAAAGAAATTCTGATGTAAAGTACGAAAAATGTCAAAAGAATACTATTTAACAAATTGTTTTTGTTTTTGAGAAAAGGCAATTGACCTTGTCAAGGGAGACAGTTTGCTGTGTCAAGGGACGTTATTATGTATTATCTATAGATCATAATAAAGGACGATATTCGTACTGTAATTTTACCTTTCCAATTCGGAGTACCATAGCTAATTAAGCTCCAAACTCGGGAAATAAATGAAACAGCACAACCTGGCTGGTGTTGTCCACCATTTGGATAAAAATCCACTGTACCACAACGCTGTAAGATTCCTACACCAACAGGCTCTCCTGAAATTTATTTTATGCATTAAGGAATCCGTAATATCGATATGCCAAATTAATAAAAGATAGCTGAATTTATAGAGAATTAAATATTACGAGTGTCACAAAAAAGTTACTAACCTATAAATATAGTTACTATAGGATCTGTGTAGGTATGAATAACATCGACAAAAATGGCATCAAAGGAATCCAAACGAACAAGTGGGTGTTTGCCTTCAAAAAGCGGAGCTGCAGGATCCAATCCTACAATATGAATATTACGTCTGACACTTCAACTATTCATTGATGTGAAATGTTTGTATATCAAACCCTGTACAGAAAATTTTTTGAAAAAAAGGGATTAAGAATCGTACGTCCTTCTTTTCTGCATAACCACCCGATTGTATAACTGACTCGTTGAGAAATTCAGTCCCCAAAAATCAAATGCTTAAGGTTATGATATCAGATAGTTTGTAAAATCCTGTATATTTGGTAAACCTTAGTGAAGTCGGATTGATTTGAACGGTTAGTGTAACAACACTTATATACCGACGTGTTGATTCTGAAACTAACGAAAGGAGTTACTACTTACCAGTAATTCTGAAGATCCTGAATTGTGGTCTAACAATATGACCAATATAACCAGCAAGATGTGCTCCAAGACTGTGACCTATCAGGTGGAGATTTTCAGGTCTAATACCATACGATATCAAAGATTTAATAAACTCAGCAGCTAGCACTGCTACCAGCCTGATATTTGCCACGGCCTGAGCATATATTAATGGTAAAGAACCGTTCTTCCAATCCAACGACAGCAAATTCATTCGCTCCTGAAATGAATTTGAATATCTTAATGTGACAGGTTTAATTTTCCTAATGTGATCGACTCTTCGATTTTCTGTCACAATTTGTCATTTTTTCTGGTTCAAGGAATTTGTAATTATTATCATTATTCTGTTGAGGTTCAGAAAGAGGCCATTAAGGTCTAGACATTGTCTATGTATCCTTAAATACAGTACATGAGCAATGTCTAAACCTTCACAGACAATCTCCATATTGTTGATCCACAGCTAGCATCTCTTTAGTTTGATTTTTAGTATGATGATTGCAAATAACAATATGACTATATATTTTGTTACAATAGGAAGATTATAGTCCAGTGTAAGAAGAATACAACATAATACTTGTAATAGTTTGACATTAACTAAATGCTTTCTAAATAAAAACCCTTAACGCCCAAATTGGTTAAAATATATAAAATTGTAGTGTAAAATGTCATAGAACTGAAGTTTATAACTTATTCCTTATATGTCTATCAAAAAAGCAGTCCATAACTAGTTCGTTTGTTTCAGGTTTAAACCATTTCTTAGTATTGCTGTGTAGTTAATGAAGCCAGCTCTATGTGTGTCACTCCCTTTAAGTTCGGAAATATGTCAGACCGTAATTAAAACGAAGCGGGAACTAGAATGCAAGGAAATTGGTTATTATGTACATGACAGAATTAAACTTCCCAGTTTCAAATACAACTACCGGCTCTATTAAATTTGTAATACTCTAATGATGCTAATGAATCATCTATAGGCTCCAGACACGAGTTTGAAAATAATGAACTAAAAAAGAATATCTCACCCCACTTCTGGAATATTCTGAAGTCATCTTGATTATCCATGGTGTGCGACCATGATCTTGAAATCCGTGGATCAGAATTTTAGTTGGAATTCCAGGAACAATAAAGTTATTTAGTTCTGTTACAGATACATTATGGTTTAACCTCACTGATACGTTATATCGTGTAAAAATTCGGAAACCAACACCAAGATACCTTGGTTCTTCTGGTAAATAAGACTGAGAATTATTCCAAGGATATGAGGTGTTAAAACAGCCATATTCTCCATAGCACTGGATTTGAACCCTTTCTCCAATCAATGAAGATAGCCACCAACCTACAAAGGAAAAGTAGATTTAAAAAACTGAAATAAAATGTTAAGATTATTATGAGCAAAATATAGTTGCATGGGAATGTTAACCTGAATTTCCTTCGTTGATTTCAGAACGTTTCACAAAAATATAAAATACTAAGTAAAATACAATATTTTTGTAATAACCTACTGAGGATATTATACTGTTAACAAATATCCCTGTCCAGATATTACTGTCACGTTTTCTCTAACTCCAGTCACCAAATAAATTGTACATGTGATGAACACTAAATTTATAAGGAAGAGATATGCTGACACGCCCCCACGGAATTAAATTGAAATTTGAAATTTAAAACTACATTAGACCTTATAGTAAATAATCATCATGTATAGTCACGTGCAACGCCCTCTTAACCACGCCTTTATTCCAAATATAACATATTGGAACTTTTATTAACTGTCTGGTAACGCCCAGATTTCCATAAATTATTTGTTTAGTATTATAAATATTCTAACTGCATATCGATAATACAATAAACATTATATACGCAATTTAATTTTGATCATCTGTGTAAAAGTTCAGAAGATGTTAAGGCAATGCAATAAAGAACCAGTCCTGGTAGAAATAGGGTTCTGGTCGTATGATTTTTTTTTTTTGTCTTTCATTGATAAACTCAATACGTTTTTAAAATTCAATGTAATTCATGCAAAACTTTAAGTGAGCGATTATACCATTGTCCACTAAATTTGGATTAGTACAATTAGGTAATAAATAGGAAATCAGAAGTGACTTCTGTTAAAATATTTTACAGCATGACTTCAATGAAAAAGAATGACGGGCCTGGCTGGGATACTATTATATTGCTTATTCTAGCATGTTACCAAAATTACAAATTTTTATTTCAACTTTGGCTTTTGTAAAGTTCCATGTGAGCTATAGTATGAAATTCCCAAGAATAATTAGAGGGCTTTATCACTTTAAGTAAGCAAAACCAAATCGTAACTTTTGAGAGAGAGAGTATTATATGGTAAAAAGGGGTGGTGTCTACTACACATTACAATAGGAGTGTATTTAAATCTGGGAATTAATACAATAAGATAAAGTGAAATTAAATACTGGTATATCATTTACATTTAATTACATAGCTCAGTTTTAAATTCAATCACATCATGTTTATCTTTCCATTTGGTCTTTGTTTTCATTAACTGTGTATAATTTGTATGTAATTAAATTTTTGAAAAAATTCCCAGACAATTTTGCTTACAAAGCCATTCTAGTGTGTGTTTCCATAAGCTAAACCAGATCACCAATCCTATGAGAAATAAATGCATCTATTATAAGTATAAGCAAATTGCAATTATATAGTTGAAAAAGGAATTTACAATAACCATTGGTATTGATATGGCATAGCCATACAGCAATAGCTTATAAGAGTTCAACTGTAAGTCGCTGGTTTCCATTACTCTACAAAGTCGACTTTCAGGTTTACACACACTTGTAAGCGGTGCTGTCGGTCTAGAAAAAAAAAGATTCTGCACCAACACTAAAAAGAGTTATTTGTAGCGACAATGGCCTCACCATTAACCTACCAGGTACAATGCGGTTCCTTTTTTATTTTGGAAACAGGTGTCTGACTACAGGGGCGTTGAGAATCTGACGCACTTCTAATCAAGAGTTTAAAGGGAAATTCCTCTTTTTTTGTATGTCGAAAAACTGTTGGCATCCAATATGTGAAAACCAAAATATATCCCATTACGTATCTGAAAGTTTTAGCTAATAAAATCCAGCCGTTAATTTTTTAACACCAAATTTTACGTAATAACCTTTTAAAGTTCGCTATGCATTTTGCAAGCTGTTAGAAAACTACTGTACGGATTTGAGTAAAATAAATGCCTAATTGTAGAAAAATTCAACTATATAAAACGAGCCATTATAAAGCCAATCACCGAAACTGGTCAAACTGCTTAAATAACAATTAGTACTCTCAGTTTTTAATTAACCTTTTTTAAAACAAAATCTGTTTGATCAAGAATATATATTGATATAAAAAGCATACTTTAGAAATATTTTCAGGTATAATTTACGACGTTTTTGATAATGAAAATGTTTTACAAAAAAATAAGCGGAATGCTCCTTTAAGCACCCATCTTCCAACAACTGTTTAAATCCGATTGAAATATCCCACGTCTGAGAACTTACTTTTCCGCCAACTCTTGTACCTCCAATTTTCAGATTTTCATATAAATTTTCAAGTGCTGTAATAAGAATCATCCAGGCATTTATTCTTTTACATTATCCTCTTTTGTTTCTGTCATAATACTTTATCTTAGATCTGCACTGAATGGCATGAGTGGAATAGCATGCATTATATAGTTCACAAATAAAAGTTATTCTAAATAACATACAGCAAAAATTATTTGAAGAAATTTGCATGTTGATATTGATATTGGTTTAACACAGATATGTTTATAAGAAAAACATCTTACCATAAGCGTGATTTCCACAGAAAATGAGAAATGTTAATATGATATGACGTAAATAACTAAACGCCATAATGTTATTATTGCTATAATATAGCAGTATATAAATAGAGCAAATCAAAGAAATGAATTTACAAAATGTTGAAATTGAGTCCGTTTTGTTCTGAAGTATGAATTCAGTTTCGAATACAAAGAATCTATTATCTAAACTGATTTAACAACGGAACACTTAGACATATGTATTCCAACTTTTTCCTCTATGATGGTATAGGTTACTGGCCTCACATTATGGGCGTTTCAGAATTAGGTGTATATTATATAAATTCATGTTCAATTTTATGACTTGGCTTCATAAGAAATATATCATGGAACACGATTTTCAGCAACTTGTGATTCGTTTAAACAAAGAAAAAGCTTTGTTTTATTGTAATATACTGGAGGCCATTTGATTATAGTATTCTACTTCCTTCATGTGTGGTTTCGTGTAATTTTTGTCACATAAAGACTTAAAATAAGTGCATTTTAATTGAAATGAACTCGTTTTAGGATGGTTTAATGCCTTAATTAGTCTAGAAACAGAATTTTTGTGCAATTTCAGACTTTATTTCAATGATATTAATTCTAATTGGGGTAATAAAAATATAAATTTTACATGTTAGGTACTCTACGATAATGCTTCTGGAATTTGCAGAACTTCATAAAAAAAACATCACTATTTAAGCTTACATCATATGAGACCTATATATGGATACTAACTATATAGGTACTTTACTAGGTTTTTAGTTTAATGTATATATATATATAGACATTAAAAGATTTTTGCGTATTCCAAGAGCAAAGTTCAGTTAAGTCATGTGATACATGTGTTTTAGATCAGGCATCCTTTGTTACAAAAAAATCTATTTATAGAATTCATAAAAAAAGTTATAATTATTTGAAATAAATTTGAAAAGTTTAATTTTGTATTGTGATCCGGAATGACATCCTAGATGAGGAAGAAAACTCAGTAAATATCTTCACTCATAGTATGAAACCAGGAACAACGCTTTGTGAAAGGATATCAATGTATTTCCTCACGATGTTTTTGTTTTTTAAAAACTAATGGCTAAATATGATTAAGTTATATACGGTATGTGCACACAGTAAAGCAAAAGCATCATTCTCTAATGTGGAGACTGGTTGTCAATGCCATAAACAATAATATAACATTTTTGACAAGATAGATATAAGATTTTCTATCAAAACCCTAGACTGGTTCAATCTGACGGCAAGGTTTTTTTTATTTATTAGGTTATTTTTATGAATAGTGAGCCCTATGTGTTATTCTAATCAAAAAACAATCACGCGTTGGTGAAATCAAACAATTAAGCCAAATGTTTTGGATTAGCCTACATAATAATATTAATGAAAATTGAAGCGATTGAATAAATCCTATTTTCCTTCGTAAGAACATTAACAGTTCTGCCAAAGATGAGCTCAACTAGTTACCATGGAATTGAAATGATGCATATTCCATTGTTAAACTGCACAAACATTACGTATTTGAATAAACTAGAAAACTGTGTAATGTTTCACATAAAAATCTACCAACACAATTTGAATTGCTAGAAAATGTTAGTTTATCTTTGACCTTCTACAATTTGATGAAATGTTGGATTGTAGAAAAGAAACAATCACAAAACTAACATCTAAATATACTATTTGATTAATTTTGAGTATGGATTTAATTCATAGATTTATAGGATAGCCCAAGTCTTATATAACTCATTGGGGATAGCTATGTTTTATTCACTGTATCTCGTCGACTGGCGGGAGAGAACTCTTTGTTACTATCCGATCACGAGTATTTCGCAAGTAAAATGGTACCCTCATATAACCACTTAAGTTGGTCTTCAGAGATTCGAAGCTAAAATTCTGATTGCGTTCTGCTACGTTCGAAATGTTAACTGATAATCCATCTACTATAAAACATTTTGGTGGTCTTTTTAAATTGCCTCCCCTGTCAAGAGCTCTTGCATATTAGAATTCAATAAAGCGATACACCAAATCAGATTATCCAGACAGACATACTTTCCTATTGATTGTCTATATAATTTATGTCTGGATAATTAAAGCTTTCTGGTGTTGACATTTATTTCTAAAAGTAATATGAAAATGGGCGAAGCTTCTGACAGATTTTGCTATGTTTACAGTTGTGATTTGGATGTCAATATTGAAATCAAGATGTAAGTATACGGCCGGCTAGGCCTATATCCATAAATGTTTCTTATAATTTGGCCGCAGGCTCTTGATGTTCTGTCAATATTAATAAAATATTGGCAATGTGGAGAAAATAGTGTCAGCAGTCAAGTAACCTAATTTCGTGCTAACACTGATTAATAATTTATATGTGCGACCTCTCGTGACCTTTGCTTTTTTTGATAAACATGGGTTATCAGTACAATGTCGGCTAGCGGAATGAATCCAGTAGTTTCAAGCAAGGTAAAATATATTAATGTAAACCTTGACATAAAAAAATGGCAGATTTTATCTCCCGAATTTCCTTATAATCCCAAGTTCTAATTTGAATTCCAAGTAGTATCGCCTGCTAGAATATATTCCAGTGAACAAACTAGCGGATTCCATATCAGCAAAAATATTTTTTAGAACACAAAACATATCTTATGTTGTTTCAATGTCTTTTAAAAATAAATCACTCTTCCGTTTTACATATCTTATTTTTTCATTCAATATATTTATATCAATAAATCATTTATCTTTGAATAGTGATGTTTTGATTGTCGGCTACAATCGATTATACGGTCGTTGAAAGTCCAGCAATTTTACTAATTGATTCTCAACTGAAAGTCGGCGACAATCGATCGTTGAAAGTCCAGCAATTTTACTAATCGATTCTCAACTGAAAGTCGGCGACAATTGATTATCGGTCGTTGAAAGTCCAGCAATTTTACTAATCGATTCTCAACTGAAAGTCGGCGACAATCGATTATCGGTCGTTGAAAGTCCAGCAATTTTACTAATCGATTCTCAACTGAAAGTCGGCGACAATCGATTATACGGTCATTGAAAGTCCAGCAATTTTACTAATTGATTCTCATCTGAAAGTCGGCGACATCAGCAAATAATGTTTTTTTTTTTTCGTCCAGACAAGATGTGCGTTATTTTACAGCAACAAATTTTTCAGATATACTGTCATTGGGACGCACATCGCATGGGAGATAAGAATACATTTGAGGTTAAAGAAAGGCTACCACTGTTGTATTTATTTTTTGTACTAGTATTAAAATTACAATTCAAGAATAAAAAAAACTGGTAACTTTGACGAAACTCGATGTTGAATCCTCAAATGCACGAAAATAAGTTACAACACTGTATATAAAAAAGAGAAGGCTTCCAATGCCATAACAGGCACAAATGTAAACAAAGCTGTTTATTTGTTGGTGAAAGTTTTCTGCTTTACTCTGCTTAATTATGACTCCAGTGTACGTTCTATTGGAAATCAATAAGTAGTTTTTTTTTTTTTTTATCTTGTACATAAGTAGTACTTGCCATAGAGCACTTTTCTGTTGTTTTGGAAAATAGTCAACTTCCATGAGCAAAACGCCATTAAATTGATCATTGTTTGCTGTTTCTTTTTGATACTTTTTGTCATATATTTTGTCTTTATATGAATATAATGCATTAGATGCTGTACATTTATGATTATTTATAACCTTATATATTAATTGTGATTTCAGTGGAACTCTTGAAGGTCAGAGAGACAGACCAAACTATAAAGAATTGTTAGAAGATCCCATGTTGAAATTCTCAGGAGCTTATCAAGATTCTTGTTCTGATTTATTTGTTACTTGTCAGATTTATGCTGATGGGAGACCACTCTCACTACCAGTATCAACTTCATACAAAGCTTTTAGTACACGATGGAAGTAAGCATTATTTAATTGGACTGTGGTAATATGATTTAATTAAGAAAAAATTGTTGGAGATTGGAATCTTCTTTGACTGTCTCAGAACATGATTATCCACAACATGGGAACCATATTCTCACTTTAAAAAGTAATACAGGTTGCCGAATTTGAGTTGAAGCAAATAATGACCTGACTGTATCAAATGAAATTAATGGATAAAATCTATTTTGATAAACAACTTGTGACTCTTTGGCAATGACAGTAATGGTAGTGCAGTATTTTTTCAATGCATGTTAACTTTGAAGTGAACATTTTGAGAGTTATTTTCAGTTGGAATGAATGGGTTAGACTTCCAGTCAAATACAGTGATTTACCAAGAACTGCTGTCCTGGCTCTTACAATATGGGATATTTATGGTACCAACAAATATATTCCTGTTGGTGGAACAACCATGAATCTGTTTGGTAAAAGAGGGTGAGTACACTGAAAAACACTGGTATTAACTAGCTGAATAGCTCATTTGAGTCTGAGTTGGATAGTTTCCATCTGAGACAAGAAAATGGGTGATCATCTTTCAACACTTCAATTTCAAATAAGAGAACAATAAAGGAATAGAAAGATCTTAGTCAAATATGTGTTCTTTCATGATAATTCATGTCTTATCATTATTCATGCCTTATGTGCAGGAAGGGATGTCCTCGCTCTTTTTTAAATCTGATAAAACATCAACCCTCAGGTTTTTTATTAATGATATTTAAAACCCTTTCTCTTCGAAATCTCCCTTTGGTTGTGGGTTTTAAATATGATAAAGCCCTTTTGCTCTATACTTTTTATATCAATCTTTTTAATATTGTAGGACCTTTGCTCAAGGCATGCATGATTTACGAGTTTGGCCAAAAGTTAAAGCTGATCCTTCAAGAGTAACAACTACACCTGGTAAAGTTAAAGATCCTGCTGACCAAATGAGTCGTCTAGCTAAGGTTTGTAGTCAGAAGTGATAAAAATTAAGTGTCTTAAGGACTACAGCTTTGATCAGATTGCTGCAATTTACTACTTTCTTTCTAAAGACCTTCTATTTTGTTGATTTCTCTTTTTAAATTAGCTGAATTTGGAATGCTTTACAGTGTAAATGAGACGGAGAACAAATACTTGTTGTGTACCAAAGTCATCTGTCTACTGATTGACATATTTGCCTTTCATTATTTATGTTGAAAAAAAACAAATTGTACAACGAAATGGTTAAAATATTTAAAGCAAAAAGCTCAAGCTTCCCTGAAGTCAATATTTATTAACTCAAGAGAACTATGCTATAAACAAAACACTAGTTTAAATGCTTACTCACTAACCTCTCAAAATTATACAAATTTTTTACAACCTGATTTTTACTGCAAGGGTATTAATGCCAAAATCTTCCTCCATTAAACACTGATAAACTATCATTTTTATCAGTTCCAGAAGGTTATGAGTAGTAATATAAGTCATAAAAGTCCATGTCTTATTTGTAATTTGAATTAACCTAGATTTTATTCTTATGCAAATGGTATTTTATTATACATATATATAAATATGACTGGTTAAATATGGTTGTTAAAATTAAGATTTTATACACCTGTATGAAAATATGGTTATATATTGCCAGTCAACATTCATTGTTAGCAGGGTTAAAGTTACAGTTTCCATCAGATTTTGATAACATTTTCTGTGGATATGCTGAATGATAAGGTCTTGCAAGTGCTTAATGACAATGTATTGAGTTATTGCCCTTTGCTTATTTGAATGAGATTTGAATGAGATTACAATGGGGATCAAGAGTTTAATTTAAATGATTCTTGGTATTATATAGTTTTGCAAAACAAACTGTGATTGATTTCATCATCGTTTTTAGTGAGTACAATAAATCCAAATTGTATTCATTGTAATTGTAAACTTGATTTTGATTGCAAAATTTGTTTGAGATGGAGCATCCATCCATCTGGTGCCATAAATTCAAGTTGAACAGGAATCTGGTGGAGCTCCTTTAAATTAAACTATATGTATATATATGATGATTGATAATTATGATTGGTGAAGAATATAATCAATACTGGTCCAGCTGTCACTTGATTTACAATCAATATAAACAACTATTTACCACACACTTTTTTCATCACTAAGTTTTTCACAGTTTTAATTTTATGTAACAGGTAGGGATTAATTTAATAACTTTAAAAACAGGTTTAAAGACAGAGTACTGTCCAGAAATAGGTGATATTTCTGTAAGTTTTCGATATATTTATGTAACAGGTAGGGATTAAATTGATAACTTTAAAAACAGTTTTAAAAACAGAATACTATCCAGAACTAGGTGATATTTCTCTAAGTTTTAGATATATTTATGTAACAGGTGGGGATTCATTTGATAACTTTAAAAACAGGTTTAAAGACAGAGTACTGTCCAGAAATAGGTGATATTTCTATAACTTGGTTCTTGTGAAAAGCATACAACATGGATAACATTGTGACTAAAGAATATTAGCACCTCATACTGTTTTTTAAACAGTTATAGATGGACACTCAGTTGTTCAGCTTGCATTTTTCACTTTTTAATTTTTGTTGAACACTTTCATTTGAATGTTATGTATATAACAGTGTTGTTTAATGGTACTCAATTTCTTTTTTGGGACAAATAGGTATCTTTGATTTTTGATTAGATAAGAAATTTGATATTTTAGACAGAAAATATATGTTGTATTTCTAACATAGCTTCAGGTTACATAATTAATTAAATTGAAGTTTATTATTATACTATTCATAAAATTTGAGGGTAATTAAATATGCTAGGTCAAGGTTAACATTTCTAAATAGAATAACTAATTTCAAGGTGTATTTATTTAGTTGGTCAATCAATATAAATACAAGTCTTTCAAGTTAAATGTTCCAAAACTGATATATCTATTGGCATTTTTCTAATGACAATTTCTATGATATTTTTTTAAATGAAGTTGATATTTCTCCACATCAAGCAAACATAAACTAAAGAACTCTATATAAGCCAGACCTATCAAGTAATTGACTATTTAAACTACTAAATGAGGTACCCTAAATTAAAATGGACAGTTCATGGTTATATTTTAAATTATATCAGAATGTGAAATATACTTTAATTGCTGAATCTGACTAGATATTCATTTATTGTAAATACTAGTTATTAATTAACAAAATTTTTTGTTCTAATTTAAGCTAAGTAAGAAACATCGAGATGGTCACATGGTTAAGGTTGATTGGTTAGATAGGCTAACGTTCCGTGAGATTGAGATGATCAATGAGAAACAGAAGAGAGACAGTAATTTTATGTATTTGATGATTGAATTTCAACACATTCATTACGAAGGAACAGAGTTTACAGTTATATACTTTGAAAAGGTAAATAGAATTACCCCTTTAACATTTTTTTTAAACCAACTTTTGTGTCATGAGCACAGACACAGTTCGAGTGTACATCTGGGGCTTGTCAAGATTTAATTTGTTAATGGAAATACTGGAAAAGGTTTTTGTACAAAGTCTTACCTCCACAAAGTTTTCCACCACTGGTTTTACTAGTTAGAGATTTTAACAGTTTGCACTTGATTTGGACATTTTCTTTTTAACATTTCACCTTTCTAATATAAATGAATGAAGCTTCCAGCTAACATATCATAAACTAGAAGCTTCAAGATATACAATGCTCTTATCTAATCTAATCTTCTAATGTGTTATCTAAAGTTCTTACCAAATTTCTTACATTTTATAGGATGGTGATAAACCATTTGAATTTAGAACACAAGCTGATATAGTAACAGTACCAGATCCTGAAATATTACTAGTAACTAACTTTAATGTTTTTACAGTAACTTAAGCAGATCATTCTACACAGTGGCAGTGTCAGGAACTGGGGGTATAAATGTAGTGCAGCTGACTGATTTAACTGTCAGGGTTGAGATTCAAAATACTGTGGAATTGCCAGAAAGATAAGCCTCAAATGATACAATTTCAAAAATGTATAGAAATCTTATTTTGTTTCCATGAGTAAGATAAGAGTAGAAGACTTGGAATTTCAAATTTAAGATTCATACCTATATTATAAGGTATAGTTATTAAACATTTCATATTATTTTACCAGGAGAATTTGGTAGAAAGTAAACATCACAAGTTAGCTCGTAGTTTACGAAGTGGGCCAACAGATAGAGATATGAAACCGGATGCTAAAACTAGAGATCATCTTAATGTAAGTTAAACTTTTAAAAAAAGCTTTATATGTGTATCAGGATTACTTATAGCACGTTTCTACACCAATGCCACTTTTGCTGTCCCATTTTATGATTGATGGTATTTTTGATACCAGATTATTTTCATCATTATCATAAATAACATGGATAAGGAGAAAGCAAGAGAGCTTTTTATTATAATTATACCTTATTATATTTTACATAGAATATAGTGGCGTATCCACCAACTAAACAGTTAACTTCAGAAGAAGAGGATTTGGTGTGGAAATTTAGATTTTATCTTTCAACACAAAATAAGGTTTGTTGTAAAATATGATATATGAAACTGTGAACCTCAATACAAGTACAGTTCTGACTGATTATGAAGTTATTGATAAAGTCAAATGAAACTTAGAATGCTTGTGTAGATTTTGTTTTCACACGAGATTTCAAATAATTTTAATGTTGATTATTTTATATTCAGCAAAATTTACTGCCTTCATAACAATATGATTTCTTCACTATGATATTTGTTGTGTTTTTGTGAGTATTGAATATATAGCGTACTATTGGTTACTTTCACTGATTTATTTTAGGCTTTAACTAAATTTTTAAAATGTGTCAACTGGAGTTTACAACAAGAGGCGAAACAAGCTTTAGAATTATTAAATAGATGGTCACCTATGGATGTTGATGATGCTTTAGAATTACTAGGACCAGCTTTCACTCATCCTGCTGTGAGAAAATATGCAGTCATGAGACTGAGACAAGCTGATGATGAGGTAATTAATTTCATTAATTAAATAACAAGTGTTCAGATATATTTTTTTTTGTGTTTAGCTAACTTATCATTTGGGTCTTACTGATAGCATTCAATTTAAGTTATATATACCACCATAAATAAATTCAAAAATTTTATCTTTTTGTTATATAGGATTTGTTACTGTACCTATTACAATTAGTTCAAGCATTGAAATATGAAAATTTTGATGAAATTAAACAAGGTTATGATTCGGTATCAATGGAAACCTCACCAGGTCCACCTTCACCAGAAACACCAGCTACACCAGAACGAGACAGGTAGAGTTATTTGTACTTACTTTTTGAAGGAATATTTTGTGAATGATTGAAATGAGATGATTTTTGACTCACATTCATTATGACTTCATCTATTGATTACCAAAGAAAAATATAAGTTTAATCGAAATATATGAAAAGAGAAATAAAATCTGTTTTAGATAATGTTAACTGCAAAGGTTCAATAAGAGCCTTTCTACTCCTTGCCAAAGAAAATTGTTCTTTTTAGCCATTAGCCATGCTTATTTACAGATTGGTTGGTTGGGAAAGTATTATTAATTTTGAAGTTACTTGATTTTAATGTTTTACAGAACTGCAAGTATAATGTCGAGGACATCATCCCAAGATTCTATATTAGAGGCTTTAAGTAGTGAAATAGATCGCGATGGTACACCAGAAAAAACACTGGAGGATGAGGTCTGTCTATATTTAAACTTAAGTCATAGACTACATCAAACTTAGTGCTTAGGGCATTTCATAAATTTTTGTTGATAGTGATATTTTTATCTTAATGACAAAAGGGTAAAAAATTAATCAATACAGTAGCCCCAAGATCAGATATCAATAAGCCTGTTTTCTATTTTTACACTGAAAGTTTTTGGAAACAGGCTTATGTCATCCTCTCCTGATGATACACATAAACAAACGACCTGTAATTATATTATATATTGTGCATTGCCTTTGAAATTTAAAAATTATTGTCTTTAAATATTGTAGATGGATTTAGCAACATTTCTAATATCCAGATCTTGTAATAATTTTGTGGTTGCTAATTATTTTTATTGGTATGTTTCATACAATATTACTTTAATTAGACAAAAAACAATTTTTTGATTGAAAAATACAACTTTGACTCTATTGGTCATGATATTCCAATATGACAATTTCTTTAAGAGTTGCCAAAAAAAGTCCAACCAGCTTTCATGTTCATGTGACAAAAATCTTTATAAGAAAACAATTAGGAAGGATGACTGTTTGAGGTTATTAGATAACCAATGGCAATGGTTTTTAGAGCACATGCCCACCCATTTTTGCACACTGCCAAACAAAAGATGAGGCTGCATATAGATGGAGATTTGGTCTACATCATAAAAATGAAGGCAAGATAAGGATGTGGCATACTGGAATAAGCTATCATTCAATTGATATTTATAACAGAAATTGATGGAGATTTTCATTATTCTAGGTATTTAAAAGTAGAATGTGAAGATCAGACTACTGCAGCTAAAGAAGATGTGAAGATAAAAGATATGTACTTAACAGTATTAAAAAGATTCAGTCAAGCTTTATCTAAGGTAAATCTTGTTTCAAGTAAATGTGTATATATATTATATAACTTGACAGATAATGAAATACATATAATCATGCATGTATATTAAACTCTAGATAAATGCTAGGGAGAGCTCAATTTCAACCAGTAGTTTCACTTTTCAGAATGATCTCAATTCTGGCAGTTGTCAAACATAGATGTGGTATTAGGATTTATTTATCATAAGGTACCTTTGAATTTTTTTCAGCGCAACTCTGATTCAAAAGCTAAAAGATCAATGTTAGCTAGTCAACAGTTATTTATAGATAAACTAGTAAAACTAGTGAAAATAGTCACTAGAGAAAGTGGTAACAGAAAGAAAAAAGTAAGTTTTAAACCATTTTACTCCATATGAATAATTTTCATGTATATTTTTCACAAGTTACCTTTTTCATGTCCCCATTTTACTCTAATCCTGAAAGTCTGGTATTTCAATTACTCTACATAGAAAATAATACCATGAACAATCTTTGACAAATTCTATAAAATTTTGGGTTTTTTACTCAGGATCTTAAAGTTAATAGGTTGAATGATTTCATGACACAATAAGGAAATGACAAAATGCATTTTATTTTGCAGATTGAAAGATTACAAGCTTTATTACAAGATGTAGATGTATGTAGAATTAATTTTGCTGAATTTGATGTTTTACCCTTACCTCTAGATCCTAATGTTAAAGTAACTGGTATCATTCCTGAATCAGCCACGTTATTTAAGGTATAGTCTATCTGATCTATTTGTTTGCTGAAAGCAAAATGTCGAAATGTCAATTCTTTTTTTTTTTTTTTTTTTTTTTTTTTTTTCGATTTTTACACACCTTCCTGAGTTTAGACTACAATAGTTGCAGCAACCATTCAACATTCACGAACCTTAGATATAGGCGACGATGTGCATAAATATATTTTGGATCTTTTTTGCAAAACCGGAAGTGCCACAGTTCAATATATGGAAGAATAGATAATCGGCTCTAGAAGTCGTATTTTTCGGTCGATTTTCTTTGGGTTTGCATTTTTGGAATCTACTGTTAAAATCTGAAAGAATAGCAGTTTCAAAATTTCAAAATTCGAAAATTTGTCGCAGACATTTTTTTTGCCAAATTTTGAATTTTTTTCAGTTTTTTTGCTTTTTGTCTGATTAATCTGAAAAAAATTGAGCAAAGACAGTTTAAGAATGTAAACAAAATGGTACAGTCAAATTTTCAATTTCACTTCCGGTTTAAACAGGAAAATGAATATCTTCCGGTGTAATTTGTATAGGACAAAAATTTTTATGCTGATAGGTAGACAAAGTTATGACAAAAAAACCGAAGAAAAAAAAATCCGGAACAGACGTGAAACTTTGGCCGCCATTTTGATTTTTCTGAAATGATTCGATTTTTATTCAGACATAATGGCTCATTCGATTTAAATGATTTTGGTGTCAAATGAAAGAAGATAAAAAAAAACATGACATTAGGTAGCCGTTTTTCGATTCTCAATTTTGCTTTTTTGCAACATCCGGTTGAATTTTTTCAAAGTTTGAAGGGTCATATCTCGTGATCTTGAACTTTGATGACCTTGACCTTCATAAGGTCAAAGGTCATTGACCTTAGCTATCAGTTAATACTTTGACATTTGACCTCCGACATGTACTTCCCGTTTTATAGCTGTCCGAAAACAGCCAAATTCGCAACTTTGGACTGCTCTAGCACATGACCTAATTAACCTAGAGGGTTAATTTTTTCGGATTCTTAATGTGCTTTTCATGCTCTTTCAAGTGATTTATAACAATCGTTTTTTAAAGCAAAATTGAAATTCGTGAATTTTTCAAATTTGAGTTTTTTTTACAATATTTCTGTTTCTTTGAGCTTGGTGTGTATATATCTTATGACCTATTTTATGTAGAACATTGAAACTTGGAACACAACAAGACAATTTGAATATGAATTAACCTATGACAAAACAGTTGAGGTGGGCGTGGCACATCCGGGTTGAATTACTAATTGTTTACATTTTGGGATACATTTGTTCAAAAAGGAACTTTGCACACAATTACCTCATGATTTTGGCCAGTTTGTGTTAATAGGTCAATTGTTTCAGCTTTATAGTTCCAAAAAAGGAACGGGTTTTGAAATTTCAATTTTCTATTTTGACCTTTATTGACTCTTGTTGACCTATATCTTTTGACCTGTATGATGTAGAAGCTTTAAATTTGGAACACAACATAACATTCAGAATATTAATTAACCTATGCAAAAGAAATTGAGGTGGGCATAGCACATCCGGGTTAAATTACTCATTATTGACAATTTTGGCAAGGGACATAACTCACAACGTATACATTTGTTCAAAATGGAACTTTGCATACAATTACTTCATTCGTTGAGCCATGTTGTCTTAGAAGTTCGATTGTTTCAGCTTTATAGTTCAAAAAAAGGAACAGGTTTTGAAAATTCAAAATTTTCAATTTTTGACCTTGACCTTTTTTGACCCTGATTTTTGTAGGATCAAAGGTCATTCACATTGGCTATCTATTTATATTTTCATATTTGCTGTCCTATCTCAACTTCTGGTTTTATAGCCGTATATAATTAAAAATTTTGATGACTTGTATCTCGTAACCTTGACCTTTGTTGACCGTCTCCCTTTCAATGTCAAATGTCATTGACCTTGGCTATCTTCTGATACTTTCATTTGTGAGGTCTGTCTACTTCCGTTATAACAATCTTCCAAACAATTCTTCTCAACTTTAGACAGCTCTTGCGCGTGATGTAATTATCGTAGAAGGTTGATTTTTTCAGAGTCTTTTGCATTTTGCTACATTTGCAAAGTCCCACTCTGTGCCACGTGTGGCTCTAGTATTTTATTATAGTGTGTAATCTCTATAGGGGAATACTTTCAATAAAAAGCATTTTTGAAACATTTTTTATCAGGGTTTTAATTATGGACAAGCACTGTCTCACTTGTGACAAGAGCACTGTTAAATTACACTTTTTTTATTGTATGAGCTCTTTTATTTATAACTTTATAGATGTTTATATTGTTTTCAGAGTGCATTGATGCCATGTAGATTAACATTCCGTACCACTGAGGGAACTGATTTTGTTACTATATTTAAACATGGAGATGATTTAAGACAAGATCAATTAGTCTTACAGAGTATACAGTTAATGGATAAGGTACAACTTATCTCAGCTATCTCTTGAAAAAAAATATTACCTAAGATTTCTAGATATTTAATTATTTTGAGGAAGAGAATATTATTCTGATTTTATAAACAAATTAAACTCTGATAATGCACCATGGCTGTAATGTCAGAGAAATGGGATTGAATGGATAGACCTTAGAAACAATTGTTAAAATGAAAGACTTTTATTTTTCAGCTATTACGAAAAGAAAATTTAGATTTGAAAATGTCACCATATAAAGTATTAGCAACTAGCAGTAATCATGGTATTTTCATTTTCATATTAGTTCCTGGATTTGAAATATTTCTTCTGCAAGAAAACTTCTTCCATGAATATTATCAGTTTATTTGGCAACTGGAAGAGTGGATTAAAACATTCCGTAAAGTTTTTTTTTAGTGTCAAAATACATTATTGATGGGGTCCAGTTATCAAAATGTTTTCTTCACTGTATAATAAAGCTCGATTTCAATACTTAACGATTATGAAGCTTCTATTTGGGTGCTCTTTTTCACCTTGTGTGAATTTCATTCTAGGTTTTGTACAATTTGTGGAGTCCTCAGCTGTAGCAGAAGTCCTGTATAAAGATGGCAGTATCCAGAACTTCTTCAGAAAACATAATCCAAGTGAGAATGGTCCCTATGGTATAGCACATGAAGTTATGGATAATTATGTTAAAAGCTGTGGTAAGATTAACTTTAGTTTTTTGTGCTTATTCTTGGCAATAACGGAAAACATTAAAAGAAATTTGAAGTGTGTCATTAATTTACAATATATAAATTACATATATAGTTGATTACCATATATTTTGGAGAGAAGTTACTCTTTTGAGCAATGGTACTCTGCCGCCACATGATTAATGGAAATTTGGTTATCTTTAGTTTATTAAAACTACAATTGAACAATTGTCTTTCTGTATAGTTTGTATATTCAATCTGTGTTCTAGTCATGTGGTAGAATATTACCAGAAATATACTCTGTTACTAATGATTAATTATTCTTTTACAGCTGGATATTGTGTAGTAACATATGTATTAGGTGTTGGTGACAGACATTTAGATAATCTTCTATTATCCACTAGTGGTAAGTCTAGACTAGTTATTATTTGTATTGGGGGCACTGATAGCATCAATTTGTACCATTTCGATTTTCAGTCAGCCTTTTGTGGTTCATGCAGTTCCAAAAAAAAAAACCATCACTAACTGCAAAATATGCTTTATCACATAAGGCCCTTTGCGAGTATTGATGTCATCAAACACTTAGTTTTAGTGGAATTGCTGGAACCAAAGACATCTAAAAAATACTCATAAAAATGTCAGAAAACCACTTTACCATCCCTTTAACTCCCCACCGCAAAATAACTTGTCTTGTGTGCTTTCCAATCCGTTTTAAGGGTCTTCAACATGAACAATGGCACATATACTTGATTTTTTGTACCATCTGAATGGTCATCCCCCTTGACCTGCAACACTTCTGAAGATACTTTTCATTCCTTTGAAACGTCTGCACATATTTGTGATTTGGAATGTTGCATTTAAAAAAATGTCTTTAATCTTATAAGTTTACAGTTCTGTATTGGTTGACTTGAAGTTTCCTGTTCTTTTATTTCAGGAAAATTATTCCATATAGATTTTGGATACATATTAGGTCGTGACCCTAAACCATTGCCTCCACCAATGAAACTTAGTAAAGAAATGGTAGAAGGAATGGGTGGACCAAATTCAAAAGATTTTCATGATTTTAAGAAACATTGTTATACAGCTTTCCTTGCTCTAAGAAGGTACACATTTTGGTTCCCTCTTTCTTGAGCAAAATTAGTATTTATAGAAGCCAAGGAGTAACTAGAACAGTATTACAACCATGTTAAGCTGCATGACAGCCTGGTGAATGCCTTAAAACTTCACAAAACTTTACACATTGGAAATTAGTACATACACATATAAATGATGCTTTTTTCAGGTATTCATCTGACTTTTGTTAGTCACAACTTATTGCATCCTATAGCATAATAATAATTAAGTACTTTTTTGGGGTCAAGGCAACAGAACCATGCATGTTAATATATATTCAGTTACTTTGATTGTTTGGATCTGATATATGATAGTTTGATAGTGTTTCATAAGAACAATTATTCTTTCAGATCAGCAAATTTAATAATGAATTTATTTTCTCTGATGGTAAATGCCAATATTCCTGATATTGCGTTAGAGCCTGATAAGACAGTTAAAAAGGTAGGGGAGTATGCTGTTGCTTACACCAAATTTATTTTTGCATGACTATGGTAAACATTTTTTGAAAGGTACACAAAGAAGCCTTAAAAGGCATCAAGAATTTCTAAAACCAGTTATCGGATGTCAATATCAATGATGAGCTTATATATACAGTGCTATAGTTTAACTAACTAGTAATAGCTACTATTATTTGATCAACTTGGCAATAAGGTAATCAGGTTTCATGAAACATGAAATATAAAATAACTCTAATATGATTTTTTGTAGGTTCAAGAAAAGTTTGTATTACATTATACAGATGAAGAGGCTGTACAATATATACAAAGTTTAATAGATGTCAGTACATCTGCTATGATGCCAGCACTTGTGGAACAATTACACAAAATGGCACAGTACTGGAGGAAATAATATAAGATGACTTTAAAATGATCAACATTCCTTCCCAATATTTGTACTTCCATAATTTGTTTAAAACTTTCATCTAGATTTAAGATTGATTATATTGTAGTTTATATTTTCATCTATTTCAAAGAGCTCATTTTGTTGCTGAAAGAAATCTAAAATGACAGCTGAATAAGTAATTGCAGTCTAACAAGTATCAATAAGTGCAGTCTATCAAGTATCAATAAGTGCAGTCTATCAAGTATCAATATGTGCAGTCTAACCAGTATCAATAAGTGCAGTCTATCAAGTATCAATATGTGCAGTCTATCAAGTATCATTATGTACAGTCCGACAAGTTTCAATATGTGCAGTCTGACAAGTATCATTATGTGAAGTCTGACAAGTATCAATATGTGCAGTCCAACAAGTATCGATATGTGCAGTCCACAATTTAAGTATCAATATGGGCAGTCCGACAAGTATCAATATGTGCAATATGAAATCATAATATATTTATATTGAAGATTATTAGATTGTATATTAATGTTATTTGTTACATTAATGAATAAATGAATAAATGGATTGATTATCAGCTAATGTTAACTCACCAAACTATCTCTCTGAGTCTGCTCTGGCCACTATAATCTAAGAAGGTGGTTGCCATACCTCCAGAGAGTTCACCAAAGAATGTAGGGTGCAAATCTGTAATTCATTCCATTCATTTCCACATTATGAGCATAAAAATGCTAAAAAAAAATTCACAATATAAAATTGTCTGGTTTGAAAGTTCACCCACAACTTGGGAGCATATGGGTAAGCTTAGAATGCTGCTTCTGGACTGTGAAACTAAAAAAGAAAATTATCCATTGATAGCTTTCATAGCCCTATGTGTAACACTATTATCTCGTGTCCCTGTGTGTGATCAGTGACAACTACGCATGCGTTGTCGGAAATGCGCCATCTTTAAATTCAGTTATTTGTTTTGGTTTATCAAAATTGAAATGCGAAAGAGTTATTTATTTATTGGATTTATGTCATGCATATCAAATTGGGTACTCTGATTCTTTATTATATTATTTTGATATCAATAACTTTGTCTACAATAATCAATAGTTTGAAATCAGTTAAATCGTCGGCTAACACATTGACAGCATTTTATTTGTTATTGTTGTCAACTTCACGGTTGAGCTGACTGACAATGTCGACGAGTTTTGACTTGTCTTAAGTGTCCTATTATCACATGAATTGGTTTTAGTGTATTAAAGGGTAGGTGGTATATTCCAATGCATAATGCATCAAAGGAAATTTTAAATATTTGATCTCAATCTTATACTTTAATTTATTTATTGTCAATAATTTCAATGTCATTATTAGTCCTTATTCATTCATTTAACTCAGTGAGTTACACTGTGATTGAGTAATGTGAAAGGATAGGTCTAGCTAGAGTACAGTTATTTAGCATGACATATACACAATTGACACAGTTATACTAGGCCTACTCAAACCAACAAAGTTACTATCAATAAAGATTGTTTTGGTGAATGGCATAGTTCGCCATTTTCAGAAGCTGATTCGTCTTGAAGTTGAATAATAAAACTGCACTAAAATTGCATAACGTCGACTCGCTGACAAAACCTTGTATCTGCAAAATTAAGTTTTTTGTTTTATTTGGCCATTGTAAATGTTTTTTAGAGGCGCATACTGTGACAAAATCCCGTAGTTCTTGTCCAATCAGAAGTGGCAAGTAATGACACATGCCATGTAATTGGTCAATTTTTTACTATGACAAAACCTCGTATGAAGGCGACGTCGACGTAAAGTTTCAACGACGTGATATTTTTATGTTAAAATCCTTATGAGATCGCCATGCTCTTGTTTACAAGTAATATTAAAATGCCCACGTGTTATTATTTTTCCCCATTATATCCTTGGTAAAGTAATACAATGCTATACAATATTATAAAACTGTATTAATCACGTTTATCAGAGTGTATACTACTGTATACGCTGATACGATAATTTGTAATAACATGATTATCTCATATTGCACATTTTATATAGCCCTAAAATGCAGATACGATATTTACCCAGTTCCTACTCAATTTCAAAACATCGTAACTGCAATTTTTATGTTAATATTAGGATCGGATTTAGATTCAAATTGTCGTATGTGGCGTATGTACATAGTCAGTCAACTTTTTTGAAAACCAAACTATCGTATCTACACTGTTAGTTTAACACGTTTATGTAGGCCTGTGCCTTTAAAACGACAAATTATAAGCGTCTTCAATGTCGCTTTTTTCCTAAAACAATCTGTGTATTGAGCACCACACTTACGAAAAAAAGTTTTTTGTCTCTCCTGAAAAGTCGTATATTTGCAGATAAGAGCTATTGTCAGCGAGCCGACGTTAATCCCTTCAAATATGCCTCAACCTAAAAATTTCACTTTCTTTTTCTATATATGGTAAGCTTACACACTGGACACACCTTTACTGATTAGCTTAGCTAAAAAAAAATTCCTGTTTCTGAGACTAAGGTACAATTGGTTAAAACAGATGGCAAACATGTTCCTTTAGAATTTTGAAGTGGGTTGGAACAGACTTATTAGAGGCTAAATTAGCTTATAATTAGTCACAATTTATATTCTTTTAAGTCTAAAGAAAAGCTGGGTTGACAGTTGACACATCTTGGAAGGTAGCATTAAGTTAAAGTTACTAGGCTATGTTGAAAGAGTTGCTGTGTAAGCCTATCTGTAGCCTAAATAAATATTTATATATGCACTCCTATTAAGCTCCATTTATTGCTAATCCACTATCAAATGATTTTTTACATAAAAAAAAAACTAAGAAAAAACTTTATATTAAAAATTAAACTTAAAGAAGGTTTATCCTCTTATTTTAAAATCTAGACTAGCTTTGGATGCATTTCAAAATGACTTTTCATTTAGCTGAAAAAGCACACAAAGTTAAGAGAACTTTTGCACTATTTCAGTCAAGTAAGATGAAAAATACATGTTAACTTGTCTTTATAACTCTAGCTTGTTTGTGCATGTGATTTGTATACTTATATCATATTTATTCACTTAAAAAGAATTTAAACAATGAGATAGATTAAGTGTAGATGAAATTTCATCCACTTTAAATCTGTTCTTATTGATGGTTGTCTAGGAATTAAACTGTCATAATTCCTTCTAATATCTTGTCTTATTTCTTGTCTGGCACGACTTTTCTGTACATAAGTAGGTACTCCAATGTATTATCACTACCTATACCCCACCAAAGGCATCTAAAGCAGTTTGAGATAGTATTCAAATAGGCATTGATATTTCTTTGGGTTTTAATACAGGTTTATGTGTCGCGAATGAAATAAAATTTTAGTGGTATCCAGTTTAGGATTGAGATGACAAGAAGACCAGTTGAAATGAAGGAATCAAGTGTATTTAGTGAAAAATCCATTCTTCCAGCGTGTAGGATACAATGTGAACCAGGATGTATAAAAATTGGTGATAAAGAATACCAGTCAGCATCAGAAGCTTTAAATGCTTATCTTGATCAGTTTGACACTCCAGAAACTCAATCAAGATATTCACTAAGATCAAACAATAGTTTACAGTCTTCAGTGTTAAAAATACAACAACATAAAATTATTGAGGATGAAATTCAAAAGGCAAAGCAAGATATCAAAATTGAAGTTTTGAAAAAAGCTTTAGATAAATCAAAGAAGAGAGAGCATGGATATTTACAAAAGGAAGGTATGTTAGTTACTGGTTTCTGTTTTTTTTTTTTTTTTTTTGCATGAAATCTGGTTGCTTACAGACTACCTGCATAAATGAATTAATTTATTAAGCAGGGGAAGAAAAGATGATTTAAATATATAATGTAAGACAATTATATAGGATAATTATTTTGATAGCCCATAGCTTAAAATGTACTGGTAATCAATTCTGAAATTTGAGACAAATATCTATCAGACACAATGGCATTTTTGTCTTTCAGTTGATGATGCTCTAGCTAAATCAGGAGAGTTGTTAGAGAGGCTAAATACAACTGATGATTCTATTCAACAATGTCCTAGTGATTTAGGCAGTTTAACAACAGACATTCTTTTAACAGTCAATCCTTATCAAGACCTAAAACGTTCAGAATCAAAACATGTTTATTCTTATCATAGAACATCACGTTCACCAACCCCTACCATCAAATCTACCTCACAATCTACAAATCAAAATACACTTTCTAATGGATCCAAATCAAAACTCCCACCAACAGGCCTTGGAGCAAATAAATCAAAATCTAATATGACTACATGCAAGAATGGTCGTGCTTTAAGGAGTAGGTCAGTGTCACCAACATCAGGAAAATCATTCAAAACACCAAGCTGGGTACAAGAATTAGATAACTCAAGTATTAATGGTCCTCCAAGCTGGATAGATGGTCTGGCCGCTTCTGATATATCAGACTCTCTTTGGAATGATAAAACTAGAATAAACCCACAAGATGATAAGTTTAGAACACTACCAGAAGAAACATTAAGTTACCTTAATTCTACTACACCAGGCTTAAATTATTCTGATCTTCATTCCAAAACACCTGACAGCAAGCCACAATCTTTTTCTGAGTTGAGAACATACACAGCCAATTTAATTTCCAAAGCTGATAAATTTTTAAAAGAAAGCGAACTAATTGAGAGAAAATCGCTTGATACAGACATGTCTTCAATTAATCAGCCTAGCGAAATGACACCGAAACGTAAAGGCTTACATACAACATTAGATAAATATATAGCAGACATGTCTAGTCCATTCTCAGGTAAGAGAGATAGTGAATCTATAGAGAATATGCCAAGATGTTCCAGTATGGATAATATGATGGGTGATGATATTGGTCCTAAATCTGATGTAACAGGTGCCAGCACTATACCAATGGCTAGTAATCCAGGTTGGTCAGTTTCTATCAATACCATTCCAGCATTGCGAGAACAATAACAAAAAATTTTATTGATAAGTGGTGTGATGTGATGCATTTGTTCAAAAATTTATTTCCTGATCTCTAAATTAAGTTCTATCCATCTGTGTTTTTGGCAAACATACCAAAGTTTTGAAGAAACCCTGTGTAACCAAGCCTCCTTAAACATTGTGAGTTCTTTACATTTATTTCTCAGTGACTCCAAAGAAATCTGGTAAACCAACTGTAACATTTAGTCCTTATCATATTGGTAAAAGTCCCAATTCCAGTGCTATATTAGATGGTGATAGACCATGGGAAAATTCACCATTACTGTAAGTATAGTCAAATCCACAACCTTAAACCAAAAAGTTTAGTGCTTTTATTAAACACTTGAGAAGGATATGATTGCTTGTAATTTGAGTGTGCACAGTACAGTGCTGTTACATTTCAATTCAATGTTAAATCTTGTATTTTTTATCCACAGTAAAGATCCTGTGCATGTAGATAGCATGAGTCCAGTACCTTTTGAAACAGTAAGAAGCTTTTATTAATTTTCCTAGTAGTGTGATTCAAATTTTATTTCTGTATTTGTGTAATTGTGTCATGTAAAGTATACAAGAACTATTTTAATACAGCAGATGGTTCATTAGCCTACTACCTTTTATTTAAATTGCAGTCTAATAAAATATCCAAATCACCAACTCTTTCTGGAGGTCAACAGCCTGGTAGCTTAGAAGCACTAAAGAAAATGTTATTTAAATTACAAGCTGAAAGTAATACAGTTCAGTCAGATTCAGTAAGTACAAAAAGTTAAACATATGATATTACATTGTGAATAGCATTCTCAAATTTTTAGTCATATTTCCTAAATTCAAAGTTAGAAAAATAGCTGGTTCTTAACCTGGACAGTTCACAGAGTTTATTTTGAAATATGTGTTGTATATGTGTATATTATAGTTGTGATTAGTTGGAGATAATGCTCATAGTGAAGAACTCTGGAAAAAAAATGTTTGGTGTTGAAAATTAAATTGTGCATGAACATAAAACAAGGATTACTTCCTGTACTAGCATTAAATGATTTGAAATTATGTTGTAAATGTGGTCAAATTATTTATGATTTACATTATAACTTTTCAGTATACATCTCAAAATGATATCAATCCAGCTGATACATTAGATATGCCAGCATTAAAAGGGTATAATTTTGAATCTGAACCAGGTGGCCATTCACTTGAAAAGTAAGTAAGAATTATTTAGTGCTGTTTCTGTTGATTGTCACTCAAATCATCACAAACAGGCAGTTAACCAAAGAATATGCTTGCAAGTCAATAACTCAGCTTTTCAATGGACTAAAGTAATACAATAAAATCAGATTCTACCTAGATCTTTGTGTGTTATTATATCCAGAATATCTGGATTTATCTTTTGACTATTTATGTTTCGACCAGACCAATTCATTTTCTTTTTTTTTAGGATCCATCCTACCTCAATTTTCCAGATATCTGAAAAAAAAAAATCCCCTTATCTGCACCTCTTGAAAAAAAAAATCAACCTTCATTCCTGATAAAACAAAATCATCATCACAAAACACCTATTATTGATAAAATATATGTCGTTTGATTAAATCAATACAGAGAAAGTAGGAACATCTAGGTCACGTTTTCCTAATTTATTATTTCTGTCCTTCACACAATTTTTTTCCCCCTCCTTTTCAAGAAAAATAAATTGGCCTGTCCTTAGTGTCAAAATTTATGTTTGAATAAAATGTTTGATATTTTTAGGGCTTTGGTTCATCTGTCCCGTTTAAAGAGTTTGGTTGAGAAAAAAGATTCCTTTATACAAGATTCTGTGTTAAATAAATCTTCCCATAGTGCACCATCATCTCCAAGGAGATAGCTATCCCACACCTTGTCATTTACTTCCTTATTCTTATTAATTGAGCTATTTTAAATACAAAGAATTTGTTCCATGATTTTGTGTGCAGGTTACTATGCAGGTAACACAATTTAAACCAAATATATTAAGCAATGTATTAAATATTGGTCCTCACATGTAATAGATGCCTACCTCTTTAATTGAAAAGAAAATTTTATTGCTGAATATTTTTAATACCTAAATGAGGTTCTAGAGATTTCATTAGATGTTGTATCAAATGAATCTTGATCTGCATTTAGCCCCAATGTTCCTAGCATTAATTATCAAATATGATAAATTTATTTTGATATTATATTGTCAGTTGCTCAATGTGTTAAAGTTGTGTAAAGTGTGCTGCACATTGTTCCATTTTTTTATACTGTATTTTTTGCTCCTTCATCGATTCCTTCCCAATCCTTCCATTTAGAGTTAAAATCAAAATGATGATACACATCCAGTGATACAATCCATAACAGAACAGTTAATTGTTTTATGAGGCAGAGTAGTAATGTAAATGGTTACAATAATATAAATGCCATTGTAAATGAAATATTCTGACTGAAATAAACTGGGTTTTTGGGTAATGTCCTGGATAAATTTATTTTACTAAGCATTTATTTTTTTTGTGTATATTGCTGTGATATTTATTTAAATTTGCAAATTAAATTCTACTACTCATCGATTTTTTATCTTGGTTTTTTAACTGGAACAGTGGTTAATGCACAAACCTGAGCATTTTTGTCAGCCGATTTGATTTGGTTCAATTACGATTAGTTTTAGCTAGATTAGCAGTGGTCTACAAATGCGAAATTTGTCTTTGCTGACAACAAAAGAAAGTCATTTATTTTGATTATTATTATTATTATTGTTAAACTTTTACATGCCGCCATCTTAAAAAAATGAGTCTAATCTAATCGCCTAACTTCTGGGTCTGGGACGATGATTAGCCTAACAAGTTTGAATAAACTTTCTTGAAAATGTACCGATTAGCATAATCTTCCTGGCTCCCAGTCCACAAAATAGCTAATCTATCAAATCGAATCGGCCTAAAAAAACGTCTATGTCTATAATCCTAAGATTTGCCACTTCCTGTATTATCAAAATCCATCCTTTGGCCATAGACAATCATAGTAAACAAGAAGAGAGAGACAACAATACATTACAAAAACTTGTCCAAATCAGTCTACATATTTTTTGACAGAAAACAGAGGAATACAACAACAACTACCACTAAATTTATTAGGATTGGCGATGAACGGTTTTATACAGGCCAATTATTGACATGGAATCATAAAGATTACAAGAAACAACATACAACAGAGAAAACTTCCCATTGTAGTATTTGTGGACTAGGCTTTGATATGACAAAAATACTTAATAATCATATGAAAATACATTTTACTGAAATACCTTACGAATGTGATGTTTGTGGAAAGGTTTCTACACAATTGTCAAAGCATAAAATTCACATAAGAATTCATACTGGAGAAAAAACCATACAAATGTGATGTTTGTGGGAAGAATTTTAATGAATCAGTCCACCTGAAAGATCACCTGAGAACACATACTAGAGAAAAACCTTACCAATGTGACATTTATGGTAAATGTTTTACAATTGTATGGAATCATCAAGTTCACACTATAAAACATACTGGAGAAAAACCAAACAAATGTGGTGTTTGTAAAAAGGATTTAGTTCATCAAGTGATTTAAAAGTTCACATAAGAACACATACTAGAGAAATGCCATACAAATGCAATGTTTGTAAAAAATCTTTTATTACAGTAAGTCATTTTAAAGTTCACATGAGAATACATACTGGAGAAAAAACATATAAATGTGATGTTTGTGACAAGAGCTTTACTGAATCAAGCAGTCTTTAAGTACACTTGAGAACACATACTGGAGAAAAACCATACAAATGTAAAGTTTGTGAAAAATGCGTTATGTTGTCAGATATGTTCAAGATGCACATGAAAACCCATACTGGGTGAGAAACCTTACATATGTGATGTTTGTGGAAAGTGTTTTACAACTGTATCACACCGTAAAATTCACATGAGAACCCATACTGGACAGAAACCATACACATGCCATGTTTGTGAAAAGAGTTTCACACAAGAAATTAGCCTAAGAGTTCACACCAAAACAAATGTTAATGAAAAAAAACCTTGAGAATTCTATGTTGTAAAAAGCGTTTTTATCACAGAGTGTAGATTTAATATCGACAGGAAAATACACAACTGTCCTATAAATAAACAGGATATTAATAACAAATGAGTTGTCCTGTAATTCAGGACATCATGTAATTTACAGACTATATCACCCTTTAAATAAATGCAGTCATCTAAATATTTATATTCTGATGGCTTTATCCCTTTGACAGCATTAGACAGAACTCACTCAACTAGGATTAAGTTAGGTTCTGGAAGATACTTTCCACTAGCTCGGTCTTGTCAAATATTTTAGAAAGACCATATTTGAACATTCACTTCAACATTTCAAGCGAAGTTTACGAATCAGTAGTCAAACTTTACAAATATGATATTTGTTCATTTTTGAAAAGGTGTGCCTTGAAACAAATTAAAAACTACCCCCTATGATTGTTTTAGATCCATCCAATACTATACACTATAAAAGAAACCTTTCCATTGTGGTGTTTGTAGTCTAGGGGTTGATAGGTTATTTAAGAAAAATATTAAGTCACTTGAAAACCCACACTGGAGAGAAACCTTCCCGTTGTGGTATTTGTAGTCTAGGGGTTGATAGGTTATTGAAGAAAAATGTTTTAAGTCACTTGAAAACCCACACTGGAGAGAAACCATCCCGTTGTGGTATTTGTAGTCTAGGGGTTGATAGGTTATTTAAAAAAAAATGTTAAGTCTCTTGAATACCTACGCTGGAGAGAAACCTTGCCATTATGGTAGGCCCCCTATTTGTAGTCTAGGGGTTGATAGGTTATTTAGGAGAAAAATGTTAAGTTTCTTGAAAACCTACGCTGGAGAGAAACCTTCCCATTGTGGTAGGCCCCCTATTTGTAGTCTACGGGTTGATAGTTTATATAAGAAAAATGTTAAGTCTCTTGAATACCTACGCTGGAGAGAAACCTTCCCATTGGTAGGCCCCCTATTTGTAGTCTAGGGGTTGATAGGTTATTTAAGAAAAATGTTAAGTTTCTTGAAAACCTACGCTGGAGAGAAACCTTCCCATTGTGGTGTTTGTAGTCTAGGGTTGATAGGTTATTTAAGAAAAATGTTAAGTTTCTTGAAAACCTACGCTGGAGAGAAACCTTCCCATTGTGGTATTTGTAGTCTAGGGGTTAATAGGTTATTTAAGAAAAATGTTAAGTTTCTTGAAAACCTACGCTGGAGAGAAACCTTCCCATTGTTGTACTTGTAGTCTAGGGGTTAATAGGTTATTTAAGAAAAATGTTAAGTCACTTGAAAACCTACGCTAGAGAGAAACCTCCCCATTATGGTAGGCCCCCTATTTGTAGTCTAGGGGTTGATAGGTTATTTAAGAAAAATGTTAAGTTTCTTGAAAACCTACGCTGGAGAGAAACCTTCCCGTTGTGGTATTTGTAGTCTAGGGGTTGATAGGTTATTGAAGAAAAATGTTAAGTCACTTGAAAACCTATTCACTGGAGAGAAACCACCCCGTTGTGGTATTTGTAGTCTAGGGGTTGATAGGTTATTTAAGAAAAAGGTTAAGTCACTTAAAAACCTATACACTGGAGAGAAACCTTCCTATGTGGTAGGCCCCCTATTTGTAGTCTAGGGATTGATAGTTTATTTAAGAAAAATGTTAAGTCTCTTGAATACCTACGCTGGAGAGAAACCTTCCCATTGTGGTAGGCCCCCTATTTGTAGTCTAGGGGTTGATAGTTTATTTAAGAAAAATGTTAAGTCTCTTGAATACCTACGCTGGTGGTATTTGTGGTCTAGGCTTTTAGGTGAAGAAAAACTTTATTATATAACATGACTGACAAACCATATAAATGTGAAGTTCGTGAAAAGTGTTTTACATGAGCAAGCAAACATGTAATTCACATGTAGAGACATATTGGAGAGAAACCATACAAAATAATGTGATAAGTGATAATGTGGACGTGCTATCTTAATGTTCATATAACACATACTGGGAAAAACCCCAACACAAATTCACACGAGAGCATATAAATTGTTTTTTGAGGTATTGCCTTATAAAATATCTTTAATATTCAAAATATGAGACCTCTATAATTTTGATAATTTGATGTATTTTGATTATCGCTATTGGTTTATACAGATTTTAACGAATAACTGACAGTTAATTAATGGGATATTCTCGTATGTAGGCCTATTATGAAGAAATTTATTTTAATGATCTTTTATCTGAGAAAATTAGTCAAGAAAGACTTTGTTCTCAATCTGACACTTGCCAATGGGTGTATACATTGGCTGTCAAGCGATCTTAAGTTTAACAGCTGAATCATTGACTGAATAATAAAACTATCACTGAAATTTGTGTTAAGTCACGCGCGTTTCGACTTAAAAATAGTTACAATTTTCCGATTGATCGGTTTCAATTTAGAAAGATATTTATAAAGATGTCAATTTGTCTGAGTTTAAAACACACTTACTTTTTATCATTTCCGGAACTTAACGCCTCGATGTACGACTATTTCCGTTGGCTAGGATTGGTTTCGCAGGACCTTTGATATTTAGCGCGTCTCAAAAACAAAGATCAAACATTGTTATAGAATGAAAAGAAATTTCGTTTGGTTTTGGAAATAAAAAATGACATTGCACGGTGAATCATAATTGATATATAATAGTCCAGGAGTATTAGGGTCAAAGGTGGAACAAATTGATAACAAGCTTATTTTTTCAGAATTGGTGCCCCAAAACCTTTCTTAACATGTCAAAAGGACTAAAGATCTAAAAACAAAAGCTCAGTGTCTACCCAGCAAACATTTCAGATCGGATCTACGTCGGGCCGACTAAGACGTCTTAATCTGACCGATGTCTATACACAATATTTGGGCCGATAACGGATCTGTGCAACATGGCGCGAGGTGCCATGGAGCCAATAGCTAACCGACATCGGATTATCATCGATTTTTGAGATCTATCCGACATCAAAACACTACATCGGGCCCACAACGGATGTGCAACACGGTGCGAGGTCTTGCCTACGTCGGCTATTGACATGGGGCCGATGTTTCGCCGTTATTCTGCCGACATCAGCCTGTTTATTTTCGACATCTATCCGATATACATCCGTTCTAAATGACAATGATATTGCTTCGAAATGAGTACCTAATTTCCCTATCTAACCTATATTGCACTCACACGATAAAGATAACATTTTTACTATATTATAACTTTAATGACAGGAAAACTATTGATTTCACAATTAATGTTGACGTCAACGATAAAGCCTCCTGACATATGTGTTTAAATATTTGTTATATCAGCTGATTTCACTACCTATAAAATTCTCCAAAATTAAAATCCGACATCCAATTATTCAACAAAAACGTACACCTCTAATTTAGACTGTAGTCATTTCCTGGGCTTTTATAGATATTATATATTTATAGATAGTTCAAAATAGCGGATCGTGGAAAGAACGGTGGTTCGAACGCACCGATAGGCTTCTATTGAACCTTGTGCGCAACATCTGATACTTCTGTCTTCTGGGTGAAGGTCAGTTTTCATCAAGCACGCTTCCACTCAACATCATCATGTATAGATTTATAAGTCATTCTGTATTGTCTTCCATCGAATAAATGTAGAGTTTTAGTTTATTATTTTTAACATCGACACATCGCCTGAAAATAGATGTCATAGGTAATAACTGCAAATGAGAAAGCTAAAACGCATTGGAAGTAACAATAGTCTAAACTGGATTGTTACACTTTTGCTTAATAGCAAGATAACTAATCGTCGAAGTGTTCTGGATAGCTGGTAAACCAAATGATTAGACCATTGTTCCTTAAACAGGAAAAATAAAACTTAAATAATTTAAGATTATTCCTCTTTCGTTAATATTTTCTATGTGGATCTATGATGTAAGCTTATAAAATGTAAGGTATAGTGTCCAATGTGGAATTATTGATACTGTGAGACCAGAGGAGAATTTAAGCCTATTTTCTGCAGTATTATTTTCTGCAGTATCGATGCCTCGGCACTGTACACCGCATCAGACAATGTACCTTGTCTTTTCAGGTTTTATTCAAAACAGCTTCAATAATTTCGATCGAAATGGACCCACTTAAATGAATAGAATTTAAATCGAATTGTTAATTTTACATGATAAAATAAAATAACAATGAAATACACCATTGGGTTACATTCCCAAGCAAATAAAATCTCTTGTTCGAAATATACCTCCTAAACTTGAAACCTACTGATATTCGGTACAATGATTTGTCATTTATTAAAACTGGGGAAAGAATGTCGGTCAAACTGTGTTTTGAATATTTTGAGTCTTTGCATTGATAAAAAATATAGTTATTTGTATGTTGACATTGGAAAGAAAATTTCAACCAAACAAGTTTCAAATTTTGGCTGAAAATCGTCCTCTGTAAAATCAAATTTTGAAGACATTATGTGCTCATATTTATGTATTTATCAACGCAAAGCATTCTAAGATAACACCATTTTTTTAGTCGGATAGTCCAGTTCTCACAAAAATGTTGGAAAAAAATCAAAAAACTTTTTGCATTGCTCAAATAATAGGTGGAATTACACTTCTGACGGGTTATTCTTAACGACTTTTGAGTCGTTGCTTTGAAAGGGTTTGGGCACCAATTCTGAAAAAAATCAGCTTGTTACCAATTTATTCCACCTTTGACCAAAATTTGGGCGAATGCTCCTGAACTATGAAATACGTCACCTTCCAGGAGCATCAAAGTCATCAAGAAAATCTTGATTTAACCATTAATATTGATTGTACGGGAAATTGTTGACAGACCCAGCCCCCCCCCCCCCCCCCCCCCCACCCCACCCCAAAAAAAAAAAGCTGTTTGTCATACCATAAAATGAACCCTCGATTTTAAATTAGACTTTCAGATGAATATTTTATTCAAAACACGAGATGAACCTTCATATCTTCATCTCAACTTGTTGAACACAGAAAAAATTATTTTGGATTTTGGGATGCTCATTTAATCATCTTTGTGGGATGCT